GTTAAGTTTTAGACCAAAGAACAGAATTAAAAATTTTTATAATAATTTAATGCATAAATTGGGAACAATTATCAAGCGGGATTAGTGTATAAGGTTCCTAGTTTGAATTGTCCAGCAATATCCATAAGAGAAACAAAGCAATTGTCAATGACAGAATGCACCAGTATCAGAATGATGTAAAAAATATGAAGAAAAAGAAAAAAACTGGTACGCTTTTTATATAAATTACATAAATTTGACTTTGAGAAGGTTCAAGTTGTATAAAAAAAAAAACACAAAGAGAAAATTTTTAGAAGTTTTGTGTATTACAGAGAGCAAAAATTATACTGTGAATTTCAAAGCAGATAAGACAGAATTATGCGGAAACAATAAGCAAAATTAGTATATAAATGTATGCAAGTGCAAAAATAATGAGTTGTATACCTGTTTAGGTATATTATTAAAATAATTTATGTTAAATTTTAAATTTAAAAATGATGTAATGAGTTGTAAAATGAAATGTTAAAAATAAAAATTATGTTTTTTGAAAAAGGGTGAATTAATAATGGGGCCGTGAATGTATTTAATTTTAATGTAATATTTATTAACTAGTTTAGCAATACATAAAGAAGATTTTAAAAATATAAATTTTAATTTTGGGATTGTGACACTGTAATGAGGTTCTGAAATAAACATAACCTTATAGGGGAAGGTTTTAGTGTTTCACTGGTTAAATGGAGTTTACAAGGGCAATTCTTTCCATAATGAAAGAACCTATTTTAATTACTAAAATAGGTATGTAAAATAGAGTATTAAATAAAAATAATTAATTAGCAATATAATTAGGCTGTGATGATTGCTTTATTTGTTAAAGGTTTCTTTCCTTGATAATGGCCTAAGGGCTGAAACATTGATGTAAAAAAACAAATAAAGTAGGATTATAGTGATCAAATATGTGGTTTTATTATAAATATTATTTTGCATTTCAGAGTTAGATGGATCTCATCAACAAGTATCAAAATAAATAAGAAAATTCTATTTTTTTTAATAATGTGAGATCCTGCTAAGAAAAGTTTGTGTTAGTATCTTGGATGGCAATTTTTTTGCTTAGACTGTTTATAAATTAGATTATAGATTTAAATTAGTTATATAAAATAATAAATGAACCTATAGACAAGATTTTAATAAACGTGAAATAAGTTCTAACACTCAATGTTTTACAAAAATTATTACAGGTTTTTGTTTCTTCAGTTTTAATCAAATGGTAAGCATAGATATGTTGAATGGATTTTTCCAAGTGTTTTTGAGGTTAAAATAACTTATAATTTTCAATAATGTCATTAGTAACGAAATTAAACAGCTTCTTTTAACACCTTTTAAAATTAGAGGAATTGAATAAACAGTGTTAGAACTTATACATACGATTATATGTTTTTTTTTTTAAACATTTTTCAGAACTTCCTTTATTCCATTAGAAATTAATTTGAAAATAATTCATGAAACTCGTTGAGAAGAATTAAGCAAACATTACTGGAGGTATGAAATAGTTTGAAAAAGAAAAAAGTTTCCATTATATAATTACATCAGAGCTTGACTCATTAAAATAAAATAAAGATTAAGAAAGAAAATACCCTAATTTTATATTGTTGATAATAAAATTAGTTTAGAATTATGAATTGCTATTCATATTATAGACATCTTTACGTTTATCGAAACCAATACTGAGGCTTTTAGACAGGCCCAAATTGAAGTCCAAGAAGGATTTAAACAAATGCAGAAAAAATAAAATACAAATAAATATAATGGGTGATAAATATTCAGGACGCAGTCATTATAAACTCTATAATGATTGCGTCCTGAATATTTATCACCCATGATATGTAGAACAGTCGACTAACTTCCTCCAATAACAAATAAATATATATTGATATTTATAAGAGAGATGTCAAGACAAGTGATAAATAAATATAAATATTAAACCAACATAAGACTGCTATTTCAAAATTAATATTTGATTCTAACATAATAGATAGGAATCGTATTCATATACATATATATGTTTTTTTTCTCTTAATGCAGAAGGAAAATTATTTAAATTACAATAAATAAATAAATAAATAGTGGTGAATAGAGAATATAGCGCGCTTGTATCCAAACATGATGCCACGTACTTACTTAAATGTATTCTTTCTCATACAGTTTTTAACTGACCATTTTATCAATTCTTATAACCTTAAAAAATGTTAGAAACAACCATTCATTAAAAAAAAAAAATCAATATAACTGTTTTCTTATTTTATCAGAAATCTTCTTTCACTAAAAAAATGTATTGCAATAACTAAGAATTCATACTTCATTAAATTATTTACTGAATCCAGCCCATTACGGAAGTCTAACATGTAGTTTGGCAATAGTAAAAAGGTTAAATTGTTTTTATCCTAAATCCAATCTTGAAATCCCTGACATCATCCTACACTACTAGATATTAAAATATAAAGACCAACAGGTAAATTAAGAAAATAGCTGTATTCTATACGCCTTCTTGTTACTATGCATAACCCAAACAAAATATAAATTGGAAAAACTAATCCAATAAAAAAAATTTATGTCCAAAATTAAAATTTTTTACTGATTACATTAAATAATGTCGTGTAATGACTGAATTAAATTGAAGAACAACGAATGGTAACTGAATAACTCAATCTTTCATTCTAGGATCTAGTGACAAAAATAATGCTCCTGTCCTAATGTATATAATGGCCAAAGAAGGTAACTAAAATTAGTTAGCACTACAAATTTAATATACTACTCTCTTTTGTATGCTAAGTAAATATGAAGTTCATTTGAGGTATATATTATGAGTTGGCTGCTCAATCTTCGAAAAATATTGTAAATCCAAAGTCATGTTAAGGAAGATCTTTAACTAGTATTGGTAATTCTTCCAAGTGCCACTCCTGCATGACAGACAAGACAAGATCATACAGATCACACTGAATGTGGAAAATAGCCAAGTATATCTGAAATGGCAATCCATCAGTTGCTCACGATCAGGATCTCAATTGAATCTTGAGATATCACTCACTAATCGTAATTGGATACCTCCATCAACTTTCAGACACACTGGACAAAAGCTACAGTGATCAATTCTTGGCCCAATCACCAGGCAGGAATTACATTTCAGAAGATATGCCCTAATATTAAATAAACTAAAACATCAAAAACTAGAAATAATAATTTAGGAACATATTTCAAATAGCTACTAGGATGGTGGTTGGTTTCAAGATTACATTGAGCACACTGTAGATAAAATCCTGAAAGTGACCAAATATTGACAATCAAGCTCTCGTATACAATGATAGAAGTGTTCTAATAAATTATGTTTGGGTAACTTAAATATATTTAATTTAAAATGCAGAAGTGTTTCTATTTAATCAATACTATTTTAATTTAGTTCCATGAAACATTATTACTATTATTTGTAGTTATTGTCCTTAATAATCCGAACGAGTACAGGGGATCATGACAATTATAGGTTGGCAACATAAAAATTAAGTTTATTCTGGTTTTTTCTCTAGAAAGTAGTTAAAGTTTCGATGAACCAGTTGACCAACATTTGAACTAGATGGCTCAAGCAGCTATTTTTAAATAAAAAGAAACATACTGTATAAGTGAGAACAAATTGTCAGTTTACTACAAGCCACCTAGTAGATATATTTTGAAGGAGCTAAAATTTAGAAGTATATACTTGTAATTTTAATCATGTACTGGTATAGAAATTCGTTAGATGCATCACAACACATATACTATAATATGTCAAAAATTGTGAACTCGATGAAGTTTGAATTTTCAATGGTAAAATAAAACAAATAGCTTAACAATTTAATTTTATGAAATATTGCCTATTACTTTCATCAATAAAACGACCGAATTTCCCCTCCTAAAAAATTATCTCCAAAAATAGTAATTCACTAGCTACAAGAGTTGGGGGTCGGTTGTCTCACCTAATTACAACGTTTCATATACAGTGTACAAAATGTTATCTTGAAAGTTGTCACCATCTTGGAATATATAGTACAATACAATTAAAGTTGGAGATGGTGAGGTTGGCTTGGACAATGCTGCCAGATGGCACTCATTCAAACACTCTACTCCTCTCAGATGATCAGCTTGATCAAAGATTTTTTTTTTGTTTAAGGCATGGAAAATGAAACAAAAGGTGATCACCCGAACGTAATTCTACAGAATCACAAATGTAACATTACTTACACGAGTTCTATGGCCAGGTTCATAAAAAAAAAAAAAAAAAAAAAAAGGGTAACAAAAAAAATATAAATATTGAACAAGATAAATATTAAAATAAATCAAACTGGCCAAGGAGCATTGGTAGGATGTGTTCCTACGTGATACCAAATTATAGTATGTCAAAAGACCTAGAGGCTGACAGAAAATAAAATAAAATTTTTATGAAAATATGAGATTACGATAAAAAAAATTCATTTATCAACATATGAAACAATGTAAATGCATCGAATAAATAAAACAATTCCTAAAATAAATAAACACAAAAAGAAAAAACAAAATCTAATGAAGTACAGCTGATCTATACCAACCTCTCAAATTTTAAAAGGATTTGAAGAGGCAGTAATTCTCCAAGAAAAAATTAAATGTCCAATTGAAGTATACCAAAGAAAATTAGATGACAAAGGACTATCACTAAAAAGTAAGCTTATCATGACTTAGAGATTAAGAGTTAGTTTAGTCTAAAAAATATCAGACCTAACAAAAAATGTATCTCGAAATTTTAAAAAAATTATTCATACAATAGCATCAAGCAATTTTATGAACTAAAAAAAATTAATTTTTTAACTAACCTCAATCATCAACAAAAATCATCATTCACTTAAAAAGAAAGATCAGATAATTATAGACAAATAAAATTCAATGGCATTATTCAAGGGTTGCTTTATAATTATCATTTGAATTAAATATCAATCTGTTATATACAGCAATATAAAACTCACTCTTCTTCAGACCCCACTGATAAGGCTGTATCACCACCTGAAACAAAAAAATGTCCATATATAAATGTTGAACTTCTCATATAGTGAATATAATTTACAAGGCGAACGAATTTTGTCATGACTTTTAAAAAAAAATGGTAACTTCAGAAATTGGTACAGATGATTACGAAAATTGATACAGTGCAGATTTCGTACAAGAACCCTTGATAGATTAATTATGATATCAAATGGGGGCAGTGATCAAATAACAGATGACAGGTCATGTGACTGAAAAAAATAAACTACCACGCCCCCTAAAAATCTGGGCTCATCTTTGAATCCGCCATATTGGAAACAAAAGTGACGCTAATACCAAACATATTTGAATAAAATTACCTATTAAAGTTCCTTCTTCCACACTATTGTGACAGTCAGTTGGATTCAGTACTGCATCTAAATTTGAATTACACTCACTATCATCAAAACTCATTTTAAATCTTTTCGGCAGATTACCCAGAAAATCCTCTGAATTATTCGCCATCTTTTCTCCTGGCCTCAGCTACGAACTGCCAGACCAATGCCAGAAGAATAAACGCCTTTATTACAATTTAATTTTTTCAGTATTATTTTGATATTTTAACAATGAAAATATAATTGAATGTTTTTTTCATTCATGTAAAAACGTTTTAAATATATTTTTTAAGGAATATTCAATAGTTAGCTAAATAAGATACATTTGATGAAAAACTAATTTCATTGTAAATCTATTAAAATTATATATGATTTTAATGTATAATATTTTTATTGAAGTAAAACTGAACTGAATGTTTTTTCAATGGATATAAATTATTTCATTTATTCCGTCAGCACCTGGTCTCCTACTCTAGTCAGCGTTGTAACCTTTTCTTGTTTTACTAGCGTGTGGAGCAGTAATTACCAACGATGGTACAGTATTTTTATATCCAATTTAATCTTATTTCCATTTTCCTCAATTTTATTTTAAATTGTTATTAACATGTTAACATACTTTAAAGCATTAATATGATATCTTAAGATAATTAATTATCTCTTGCCAATCTAGTCCAAACTTGATTTTTAGCCATGTTATTTAGCTTTCATTATTTTACTAACATATTCTTTTCTTTTTAGACTGAAGGAACAGTTACCGTAAGGACGCGAAAATTTATGACCAACCGGCTTCTTTGCCGAAAACAAATGGTAAGTTATTGTCATAATTTTAACCGTTAATTATGTTATGATCATTATAATTATATCTTTTGATGTCTTAGGTCGTAGATGTTACCCATCCTGGCCTTCCTTCAGTGAAGAAAACGGAGATTAGGGAAAAACTGGCTAAGATGTACAAATGTACTCCTGATGTAGTATTTTGCTTCGGTTTCCACACTAACTTTGGTGGTGGCAAATCATCTGGGTTTGCATTGATCTACGAAACTCTGGATTTCGCCAAGAAATTTGAACCAAAACACAGGCTTGCTAGGGTAAATAACTTTTACTTATTTGTCTTATTAATTTTTCGATTTTCTCAAGTAATTTTTCAGTTATGAGCTTACTTAAATCAGTTCCTTGAGTGTTTACTTGCATCATTATAAATTGATCAAACATTTTAGAAATATTATGTCTATTTTTAATGCTATTATTCAGTAATTTTTATGTTATTTTTGTGAATATCCTTTGACTGCAGGTACTTCAAGTTCTTAAGATCATATGAGTTAAATGTTATAATACCATTATTTGATTTATTTTGTAAGACCCCATAATAGAACAAATAGCTATTATTCAATAATTTGTATGTAATTTCTGTGTATATCCTTTGACTACAGGTATTTCAAGTTCTTAAGATTATAAGAGTTAAATGTTATAATACCATTATTTGATTTATTTTGTAAGACCCCATAATAGATTAATAATTTCTAATTACTGCTTTATTTCTACAGTTCAGTAATATTGTGCCTGTTTTCAAGCAGTGTTGATGACACTTTTCTAGTATAGAAACCCCAACTAACACTTGTGTGTTAGAAGAAGTAATAGTCTGTTGTTAGTTTTGTTTCTATTCTAACATTACTTTTGGGTTGCCATTATTATATTACCTCAAATAGACATTTCTAATAAATAGTGTTACTGTTCCTATAATTGCTTGTAACAAACCTTTTGCGGTAAAACTACCAAAGCAGGGCTTTCCTGCTTGGATATGTATCCCTTAAAATATCAGTAATAGTATTTAATTGTTGTGTTAAATTATTTAAAATGTTTACTTCACCACTTTGTTTACTAATGGTGTTTATAACCTATAAATTCCAACTATTTCGCTATTTATTTTTTATTCCATTGGAGTTGTTTAAGTGTATTTTTAATATTCACATTTTCAATGTTACACTCAGAGGTGATTCCTGAGGGTTGGGAATTAATTTGTTTAATGTTCAGAGTAATGACTGTGAGCATTTTAGTGGAACAATTAATATTTTTTAAAAATATTATTTCCAAAATTAGAAACGAAAATGTTTAAGTACTGTTTCCATGTGTTAAAGTAAATCTAATCTTAAAATGTTGATCATAGCCATCATTTACATCGCATAATTTATAATAATTTTTAAATGTCAAGAGACGGCCTTGTTTTAAACATTTAAACTCATAACTTAAACATTTGGTTAGAGTTTACTCATTTTGGCCTCTTGGTTTATTAGGGAACAATTTTTGGTAAACTGAACTTAACGACAGTTGGGATAATTAATTTTTAGCTAACTTTTAATGTACTTGTAATTATTTCAGCATGGTCTCTATGAGAAGAAACAGCAAACCCGTAAACAGAGGAAGGAACGTAAGAACAGAATGAAGAAGGTTAGGGGTACTAAAAAAGCTAAAGTTGGTGCTGCTGCAGGGAAGAAGGTATGAACCTTGAAATTTTAAATTGTTTTTAATAATTTTTATTTTGTAAAATTTGTTTTTAATTATTTTTATTTTGTAAAATTGCTTTAAAAGAATGAATGATATCTTCATGATTCTGTTGAAAAATATGTTTAATCATTTTTTCTATCCTTAAGTGTAAACATTCCAAAATCTTATCAACTATGGTAATGGGTAATGGTAATGTTCAGAGTTAGTTAAAGTTGCATGTTAAGAATGCTGGGTTATGTATGCTTGGTCTTTAAAATTAACATTAGTCTTTATTGCAATCAATGATTCATAAGAATATTATGTTGTGTTTTATCATTTAAAGGTTATTTTATTTTGCTTTCATGGTACCTCTAACCTATAAAGTTGCACACGGCACCTAAAATACAACCAAATAAATATTTTGCTTTCATTATTACGAAAACAATTTTGATATTTTATTTTTATATTCATATGAATCAACTTGCTGCTTAGTCAGTGGTGATGGCTTATACACTTGATGCTTGCCTTTTTCATGCTTTAATATTAAAATATGTATATTAGTCTACCTTTTTAACAACCCTATATCTTATTCAGATATCTTGCTAAATATTTTTGTTAATACATTATGAAAATTTCTTTTAGTAGTTTTAACCCCTATTAATTATCTTTTTAATCAAAGAGATTTTTTTGAGTTTTCATCCCACTAAATTTAGAAAGTAAATATCTAATGCAATGGGTTGAATATAATTCTCTAAATTAGATTAAAATAGCATGTAACAACCTTAATTGAGCTAGTAAACTGCTTAGCTCTCTACTTCTGACCTTTTTAAATTGGTCAGAAAAGAGCCGTATTTGACGTTACAGAATTAAGTCGCAACTTGTGATTTTTATACATAACAAAATTAAGTATCTATCTAGACAGATATAGAGATATCAAATATTGAGTTTTGATATTAACAAACCATCCCTATAACCCTCTACCTCTTTCCAATTTATTTATTTTTAGATTCGTATTATACTTTTTCCAATAACTATAGTTTTGACATGTTTTACCAAAACATTACTATTAAAAAAACTTTGCTATTTTCTTTATTAAATGCATGGCACTTTTATCAATTGCATTTTTTTTTTTTTTTTCATTTATTAATATTGACTCCATTTACCTGACAATATTTTTAATGATAAAAATCAATAAATAAAATATTTCACATTTACAATATTTATATATTTGCATGAACATTTTATAATTTTCTATGTTATTTTCATCTTTTAGGTTTAATTATTTTACTATTAGAGCACAGTAAATATTGTAGAAAATCATTTAGTCTGCTTATAAATTTAGAAGCTTTGTTGTGTTATTTTGTGTACAAAATGGTGATGAATGTGGTATCAGGCTTATTTTTTTTCTTTAAAACCTTATAATTTATTTAATTATATGCCTTTTGCATTATGGGAATTTTTTTTATACCATGAATGTAAGTTCTTTAAATCAGCTACAGTAAGAACATTAATTAATCGCTTCCTTTGTGTCTATTTCAATGTCCTTAATTTATATTATTGCAGACGAAATTATTTCAGTTTGGATGCATTGTTGGTTGTTTTGGACGTTAGAACCAGTATTGATTTCTTCATGTATGTTTTTAAAGTCTCCTTTTAATCTCTTATAATTTCCTTTTCAAAATAACGAATTTTAAAATATTCTTTTCAACTGGCCTTATTAGTTGCAAAGCAATCAAAATAAGGGTTAAAGAATTTACTGGGTACTGAATTTTGGTATTCTTTAGGCTTCTCTGGCTACCTGGTATTGAAGTCGCTCAAACACCAGGCACCCAATTTATCCAAAAGAAATGCCTCAAACCCAACACTGTTTGAATTCCAATAAAATTACTGAAGTAAATACTTTGGTGTTAAATTCATGACTACAAGTAGTGCAATCAAAATAATTTCTTAAGTGCAAGAAATAACTTAATTTTAATTTGTTAAAAGATATTCCTGTTTCAAATGCCTGGTTTTACATTATGAATTACCGAAGATCTAGAAAATTGATTTGTACAAGATAAGCTGGTTATCACTTACATAAACTGAGTACCCAACATAACGTTATTCGGAACATTTAAAATTGTTTTTGCTTATCCTGTGTTATTCCATAATTCATTGGTACATTATCAAATAAATCATGTCTCGTTGATTCTCCTAATTTCGTGTTTTTATTGGATTTTTCATATGATTATAATTCTTCAAAGTTTTGGGTAGCACGTTTTATTTTAAGGACGAACTAAACTTGGATAGCTTATGTTACTAAACTAGCTGGTTATAGTTTAATTAAATTGGAACAAACTTATTTTTATCAATATATTTAGCTTTGTTTGATTCCAATTGCTACAACCAACATACCAATTATTTCCAAACAATGCTACCACACATCACTCTGCTTTAATTATTTAATATTTACTGGGCTCTAATCCTTTTCGCATGATAAAAATTTTCTTTCTTGGTGTTGGAATATTCTGTATAATTATATTTTACAGGGAAAGAAGTAATATTTTGAGTTCTTCTGGTGTCTTTTTTTTCTATGGTATGGGTATCACTATTTTTTATTTTGTATGAACAACTTGGTTATTCTTTTTTGATTAATTTTTGTTTTGTTTTACTGATTTTAAGCTTTGGTGTGTAACCTTTTGCTACCCCTTTACTAACATTTTTAATATCATACTAATCTTATGGAAGCAGTGAAGAAAGAAGAATAATGTCTGAAATTTTTATTATAATAAGTATATTTTATTGTGTGTGCCTTTTTGCCCCTTAGGGAAATAATGGTAAGACAGTGTGTTGTTAACCTAAGCATTGATTCATCCATCATTAGTTTAATATTGTTTGAATAATTCAGAATTTCATATTGCTATAACATTTTATTGCTGTAGTAAAATCAGTAAGCAACAATTATTAATAATTAGTTAACACACAATATGTTAAAGTGGTTTTTAAAAGTATAACTCTTGTTAATGGTTTTCAATAAAACCTCTGATTATCTCATAGGTCATTTTAATTAGTCTCGGTAGAAAAAAAGTTTCTTTTTAACTGTTGTAAGCTCAAGCATCATCAGTAACAGCAGGTATGAATGATGGTCACTTGACGTTGACACATCTACTACTCCAAATTTTTCTTTAGTATAAAATTTTATTTTTTGATTGCTATGAAAGTTTCTATTTATTTATTTATATAAATCAAGGCCATTATTCCACCAACATTTTATTTATTTTTCATTTTATGTAGACGTTTTTTCCAACACTAGGGCCATTTTCAAGTCTTACTTGAGTCCTCCACTTAATCTCTGTATTGGATGTCGTTTTCATTTGTAGTTCCTCCAGAGATGACATGGGGAAAGCCTTTAAATATTAGGACAATTTTAATTTTTTTTTTTTTCTCTGAAAAATGAAAATGACATCCAATATGGAGATTTAGACTTTAGTCAAGTCTCATTAAAATTGTTACGCACTTTTTGGCGCTATTGTTTATAGTGACTCGCGTTAGTCAGCTTCCATTTCGAAATGAAAGTCCGAGTGGTAATGAAGTTTATATAAAAACACCTCTGAATTTGATTGCAATGTTGCATCAAAATTTCAAACAATCAATGTAGAACTTACGCAAATTAGCAGTTTTTAAACAAACACTATTTTCAAATACATGTTTTATTGGAAAAAATTGAAGCTTGGCAATAGCTACTAAACAAAAGAAAATTGGTTGAGAAACATAGGAGAAAAAGGAACTGAACCGTTTCACCTTTGTCTATTTTTACAATTTTTGGGATAATAATCTATTTTTCTCTGGTTACTTTGTTTTCCTAAAATCTTATTATTAATATTTAAGAATGTGTCAATCCAATAATCTTTTCACCTAATTTAGTTTAATTTTTTTCATAATTCTTACTGCAAGACATTAATGTTCTTTAATATAAGGCCGAGAAAAGTCATGTAGGTTATATGACTCTTGTAGCTTTTGATAGGATGTCACTAAAATATCCATACTTTTTTATAACAGTATGAAGATGGGCTTATCTTATTATTGTTCTCATGTCCTGAGGATGAGCATAGTTTTGATACATGATTGCTATAATAAGAGTACAAGGAATATTGAAATAAAGATGCTAAGGATTCCTAAGAACAGCTAGAATTATTTTTTCAACTTGACAAAAATTAGTAAGATAGAAATAATGAGATAATATTTATTCTGTTACATACTGTTACTAGATAGAAGTGGCTGAGTAAAATACCAGTTGCATATATTTTCCTTCGATTACAGCCTTATTTTTTAGCATTTACATTAATAAAACCATACTACAAGTGAACCACCATGCAAATTAATTGAAACTTTGTTCACTGGTACACATATTGTGTGTTAATTTTTTAAATACAGTTGATTTTTTTTTAGGTGTAGACAGATTTATTATTATTAACTCCTAATTCTTGAATGCATAAGAGTGTATTTTTTAATAACATATTAATTTTTGACCATTTTTATGTAAGACCATAAGAAACTAATCTAATGAACTCCAATGAAGTAAATTTCTAGTAGTTAAATTCGAGATGTTAAAGTTTGGTGTTAAAAATTGATAAAGAAACTCATTTGGCTTGTACTTAATATATTTCAGTTTAAAATAAATATACTTGAAATCTATATGTCTGATGATTAATTCAAACTTCATATTTTTATAGAGAGGTGAATTACAAGTACTTTAAAAAAATGCTAACACTTAATAACTTAAAATCGTTCCGGTAACATAATTTTTTTTTTTAATATTTTGATTTCACTGTATATGTTATTGTCATTAGAATAAGAAAAATAAATTAAAATCATGAGTCTGCTGTACAGTACAACTAATCTCAAAATACTTTTCTTTTTTTTTTTTTAATTTTTTACTAGTTTCAATTTAAATTTAAATCATTTGGTAGGGGTTTAAATTAATGCGTTTTGTTAAAACGAGGTCTATTCTTAATTATAAAGTCCTTTTCATTTGTATTTTTTGTTTATTTTATGATAATAAATTAATTTGATTTTTTTTATTTTTCAGTAACCTGTGGCGATGGGAAGTTGAGTTGGGTTGTATTTATAACTTTACATGCCAAACATGTAAATACTTTTGGATGACTTGTGAAGGAATAAATACAATGTTTTTAAGTTCTTTTTTTTAATTGTTTGTTCCTTATTTATCTTATTCCATCTAACTTCAATTCCTTTTATTAATAAATTTAAAGGCGGACTATTTTGTCATCTGCTAATGAGATTAGTATTGCAATGAGAATGGTAATTTATTTGTTTTATGAAACTGACTTATTGTTTAATGTTATAATTGACAACAGATTTAGAGTTATTGCTTGCTTTTTTTTTTTAAGTAATTAATATTGTTTCATATTAATTTATTTTCTAGTGGTATTTTATAAAATATTTTACTAGATTCAAATTGAAAACTTAATTCATATTTCGGCCCAAAGTTCAGGGCTGGTCAAACGAAGGTCTTGGTCTTGCGACAGCCCTGATGAAGGCCTGAACTTTAGGCCGCAACGTCGGCAAAAATAAATATAATTATTTTTACTATTCTTATTTATTTATTTTATTGACTCATCATCCCAACCATTCTTCTCTTCAATTAATTTTTGGTGATAAGGGTGTTTAGAATGGGGAAGAAAATTCAAAACTCTACCTGTGTAAGTTGGTTGAGTGTACCATTCTTGCGACATCCCTTCGTTTGACCAGCCTTGATGAAGGCCTGAACTATATGCAAAAATAAATATAATTATTTATTTTTAATATATATTTTTTTACTGATCATTCCAACCATTCTTCTCTTAAAAAACTTTATTCATTTAGTTTTATACCAGTTTTAAAAATACTTGGGAATGTATTAAGGAAAATAATATATTTGTGTTTGCCTATGAAAATGTAGGGAATGGATTTTGATAAAATTGATAGATACAAGATCATGTTTTTGCCAAATTGAACTAGAATTTTCTAATGCAATTTTGAAATATCCGGTTTCAATGAAAATACATCTCCTAGTAGACATGTTTGGTGATAGATACAAGATCATGTTTTCACCAATTCCTAACTATCGTCCAATTTTTTGCCAGATTGAACTAGAATTTTCTAATGCAATTTTGAAATATACGGTTTCAATAAAAATACATCTAGTAGGCATGTTTGGTCTCTGAGGCGTGCCTCATGTTTTCTACATCTCTATAGACAAATACCCTTTTACGGGCCTATTGTGAGACCGAAAATTGTATAGTCTCCTGGTTAGAGTGGGAGACCACATGAAACGATAGACATGTGCAACATTTGACTAAACCTCACTCTGTGTATCGAGGGGAGCACGTCCCAGTCTGTTTCCAAAGTTTTACACTTCTTTGGAAATATGTGGTCTAACAAGAGTGTTTTAAAATTAGTTGACAGATTACCGAATCTAGGTTTCGGTATGCGGGGGTATGCGTCCACCGTTTACATTTTCGTGTTCTTTCACTTGTAATTAGCATTAAGCAGAAACTCCAAACTCAAAGCATTGTCGATTGCGAAGATGAGACTGAGAAATTTCACGCCGCAGTGTGGAAGCTAGAAGAGACAAAAAACTGTGTTTATATAAAATTCAACAATTGTCTATTAGTCTGGACTAGGCTTTAGGTTTTTATAATTAAATAAAACCTCTTCCATTTGTATTTATTTATAATCGCTTAGTCAATGTTTTGGGTTTCTTACTCAACTTAAAAGACAATTTATTTTGGTATATGCTATCCATTATATATATTAAGAATACTTTCTCATGGTCAATCATAAATTTAATCAAATAACAAAATATATGATGTGCACAGTTGTGGCAATAAGATGGTTGTTAAGTAGGTTTTTTAATTATATATATATATATATATATATATATATATATATATAATGGATAGCAACTACAAAAATAAATCATAGAAGATGGGTCAGAAACAAAATGTCGGACTAGGGGATTATAAATAAATGTTTACAAATGGAAGAGGGGCCTTCAATTATGAAAAGCTAAAAACCAATATCATTTTTCCTCATAGTTTATATATTACAAGAATAAGTGAAGAAAATACATTTGTTCTTCACCCACTTGTTAAATTAGTGATCGGAAATCGATATGGGAATATCTAGGTATCAACCACGGAAAATTTTATCAATATTGGATTAACTGTGGTAAAAATTTTATAAATTAGATATAGTGTGAGCCTTTTTTGGAATATAGTTGTTTCTACATAAATACATTTATCCAAAATTAGTGGATAAAATTTGATGACATTGATACGGAACTATCTTGAAAAAAGCCTACGCAGTCCGAAATTTAATGGAAAATGGAAGTGAGTATTATTCCCATCACATGGATTTAGCTACAGACAGTTCCTTGGTGTATTCAATATAAAATGCATCTGGGAGGTATTGATTTCGAGTAAAAATATTTTTTAATGCTGCACGAATACAAGGATTTCTCTACCTACCTGAGAAAACAAAAGAATGGAAATAAGTCTGTTCTAAAAAAAAAAATCTGTTTGAATTTAACAAATGGGATAACTTAAATTATTTTTTTGATGTTTAATTTATTTCTTAGCCAATTAACTAAATCAACCTATCTAATTTAAGTGTAATGGCAACTTCATTTACCAGGTTTATGCATAATAAAATTGTACAATAATAGCAGTGCATCAATTGAAATATCAAAATTGTCTTCATATAATCATAAGTTGTATTTCTTGAAGATATTAATGTTATGTCTAGGATATTTTAAATAATTATTCGTTGTGCATTGCTTTTATTAGGAAAAACAACATCTGATTCTTCCTTAACTTTGGTGACAGATTTGTTTTGAATGATCGTTTCCGTCATCAGCATTTATCTCTAATAATCTGTAATTACATAATTAAGGTAAGTAGTTGTTGCATGACAGCATTTCCGTTGTATTTGAATTCTTTTCATTACAGAGGCCAATTAAGGGATAATGTGAGTGATTGTGGAGGTGGCAAGGTCGGTTTGATATCTGTCTGAGGAAATGTTTCACTAACCATTTATTTATTGAAATTTTGATTAATAGACTTAAAAGTAATTTATTAACTTTAAATAATCAATGAAAAATGTGTAGATGTATTTTACAACAAAGTTAAAAACATAAATTAGTTTCCTATAATGTATGAATTCCTAATCTTGAAACTTTTTTTTTTTTATGTTTCATTACTGAAACACTTCATTTTGTGTGTTATCCTCTGAGATAGTTTCTGCATCAGGCTCTGCTGGAGGAATAGGCTGCATTGGGAAGGTTGGTGGGTTAGGACCCTCGCAGGCAATACCCAATCGACAAGCCATGTCCCTCATCCAAGTTTTCATTCTAGTAAAAATTCCAGCTCTTCTTCCAGTTGTTGGATCTTCTGTAAAATTTAAAAAAATAATATGTATAAACTCTGGCAAAAAACAAGGATTGACAGTTACAATGTATAGCGAAAAGATGATTATGTTGTAAACATTTCAAATATTCTGGATTATAATTTCTGTCAACCTATAACTTCTAATGGGAATTTTATTATGATAGAGGCTCAAATTCTAGTTAAAGAAACAAATGAACAATCTTTGTTTTTTAATTTGAATATTTTTTTAAAATAATAGATTACTGAATGAAATAAATATATAGCAAGACATTTATTTAATATAATTTCTGAAAATAAGAATTAAGAACATAGTGAAATGCGCAGAAATTAGTATTCATGCATTACAGAAATTTATAAGATAGAACAAGCCTTGAAGAAGATGGAACTCTATTTTCAAAGAGGAAAGGTGATAGCAGTAAAGTATTTTAAGAATAACAACAGGTTTTTCTGAGTTTATAAAAAAAGAGTGAGTAATTTGTATTGGTAGTACAAGATCCATGAACCAAAACACTAATTTCAGTAATAAAACAAAACAACCGTGGTAAAATAATTATTTGGGAGATAGTAATATTATTGCATTGGGAGATGTTTTTCTATGAGCTACTTCAATTGTCTTCATGACTCCCAGTATCAAGAAAATATGGGACAGTTTTTAATTAAGGGAATGGTGATTATGAAGCAAGTAAGAAGGATTTTCCAGAAAAAAAAAATACATCCTAGCGCAGATACATCTGTGTGTGGAAGTTCCCCATAATGGAAAATATTTTTTATTTTTCATTTATTCATATTTGTATATTTGAGTGATCTAAACTAAATACTTAAACGATTGCAATGTATTGTTCTTTTGTTAAATTACAATGTATATACAACTACTAAATGTTAGCATGAGTGAAGAAAAAATAGTATTTTATTTATTTTTGGCCTTTAAGAACCATTTAAACACCATTTCATACAGGTAGGCTTTTATTTATTTTCCCCAGATTAATTACCGTTATTAAAATATATATAAAATAAAAGACTATTCTTTCCCCCTTGGATCTGAATCCCCTGCTGCATCTTCATGTTCTGTGAAATATATAAGTATTCTCTTTGTAATTAACAAACATTAGGCAGAATTACTGTGATCTGGAAGTTTTGTAAGTACCTGTATCAGTAATATGATAGCTTTTGTTTGGTTATTTCTTAATATGTCAATATTGGTTAAAGTTAATAAGATGTCTGAGCTATTTATTAGCTACTACAGAAGAGTTAGCACATTATAGGAACTTGTGCAAACATATAAATGGTATCAACTATACCACTAGCGGATCCAGGATTTGATTTTGGGGAAGGGGCTTCAGCTCAAAAGCTTATTTTGTATATATAACGATAATTACATTGGAAGAAAAAGAAAGAAACTAACTACCTATATTAAATAGTGTTTAAGTGATTCTTGAAGTTCTATTAGATGTAATTACATGAACAATAATACTTTTAGAGGTAATGTTTTAATGTTTTTTTTTCAAAAGGCATGGTTATATTTTAGCATTTTCGGGGGAGAGGCTTCAGTCGGAAAGCCTCCTCCCCCTCCCCTGTGAACTATACAACATTTATGTTGTAAGTAAATCGTTAATAATTAAATAGGTATACATCCAGTTATAATCGGGCGTCAATATTTTTGAAAATCTTCATAAAAAATGTTTTAAGGATTATTAATGCAATTAAATTGCCCATTTTTATTTTGGGTTTCTTATAGAAGATGCGGCAACACTGACTACCCAACCGCTCTTTTTCATTCGGCTTGGTGATTTTCTTACTGTTGGTGTTAATATTTTAAAAGTTATAATTAATAGTTGTTAAGTGTTGTGTCTTGTGTGGTCCAGTGAAAAAGAAAATTGAATGGATGCAGAAGTTCTAAAGTAAGTAAAAACCAGTATTATTTTATTTCTGTAATGGGCAAAGTAGTATGTAAGCCTTTAAATAAAACTATGCTACCAAATTAGTTTAAACAATATTGAAAACTTATTCTATTCATATATTAATGTATATTATATTTATTTATTAATACGCATTTCCAATAAAAATTAAAAAATCAATTTAATTAGATACCAATTAGTAATTTAAAAGCTTTATTCATTAGTATTCAATGCTTTAATGCGTTACATTTCTAATCATTGACTACAAATTAAAAAAAAAAGACAATCTTTTATTTAATTTATTATCATTAAGTTAAGAAAGCCTATCACGAGCTTAAATTAGAAGTGAAAAATTGCATTTTCAGGAAAACGGGTACAGCCATGTTTTACCTTCTAATTAAATATCTATGCCTCCTGTATTACAAATTGTGCCAAGATACTTTCTTAAATTCACGACATGACTTTAAGGCCAAGTTCCTTAACTCATCGGTAGCATCTTTTCGCCTAGTTTAATTTACGGTTCCGATGCAATCGATAAGCTCAGCGTGCTGTTTTTGCTACCTATTTTAATCAGCGTTAGCGTTCTTATGAAGATTCCTGTAAGTATTTGTATGGAGTTCGAGCAACCTCGTATCTGTTACAAAATGTTTGGTTGCGTACGAAATTATATTTTTATAAATAAAGTCTAGATTTGTTAACAACTATTTGAACTATGTTATCTTATACGTTAGACGAATAAGTTGCAATTATATCTATTTTTATTTGATTACTATTATTATAATTTTCCTATATATAACTAGTATTGGTTATATTGTTTTTTGAGTAGTTCTAGATAAGGGAAATAAAAATTTTAATTTTAACGTAATTATAAAAAAAAAATTTAATATTTATTTATTTCAGTTACATGTTCGTGTATCTAGTTTCGAACTTTGATCAAATCATATCTTTTTTCCCCTTTAATTTTAATAATGATAGGATTATTGAATCCTTTCAAAAGTTTATTTTGCATGTTTAATGTTTATAGAATGTCGTACCTTAAATTTTACTTCTTTACTCATTAACTTATTTAAAAAAATTTTTAAAACAGATATCTTAAACCAAGGATGTCAATTCCCCCTCCTAAGGTCGATGGCGCTAGAATCTACCTTTCTCTTCTCACAAGATATTTTGTTGCTCACCCTCTTTTAAAAACAGAGCAAAATTAGAAAAATCGTAGATCATATACAATCACACTTGCTCCAGTTTGTTCCATGTTTTCCTTTGGTCCGAAAATTACCAACTCCATCAAAATTTGGTCCCCTCAAAAATCCAAAAACCCATCAAAATATGCTGCCCCCCCCCCTCAAAAATTTTGATGGCTCAACTTGCACCATGAGACCCCCTTCTGGACACCCTTCTCTTGAACTAATAAATGTTTAAAAATACTTTACAGTAAGGCCAAGTATTAGATACCAGTATGTCATTGAAATAGCTAATAATTTTATTACCATCACCGAAGAAATAGTCGTAAACATCATCCATAAACCCAAAACCTCTTGGGGGCTGGAAGCTTGTAGTTATGTTCGTCATTCCATAATAATCATCTGACCGTCTTCTCCTGTTGTGTACCTACATTTTCATTTCTTTTATTAATTTTCTTTACACTATAATATTTATTTATCCAAAGAATACTTACGTTTTCGTCCATAGAGGTCCGATGCAGTAAAAAATCACCTTGAACAAACAAAATTTATTATATATTTTATTTATTTTTTAAAAATAAATTTAAAGCAAATTCCATTACTCACCAATTCTGATTTCCCAATTTCCTTCTTCATCGTTTGAAAAGGATACATCCAAACGATTACACAACGAGAAAGACCAAGGCTTGCTCAAAATCTTTTTATAGTTAATCATTGAAAATATTTCTTTATTTTCGATCTCCCATGGTATCATAACGTCTTCATCTGGGACTTTTCTGTATCGTATTTTTCCTTCCATCTTATCTAAGAAATTGATTTGGAACTTTGTTATATTTACATAATATTAAATGAATCACCAAAGAACTTAAGGTAAAAGTCGGTTGGCCAAACTTTTTGTAATTTTTCAAATAATACTGAGTCCAAGTGTTTATAAATAAACTATACGGTACAATAATTATAAAAACGATAATATTTTATTAAACAAACGTTTATATTGTAGTCGGAAAAAAAAAATTGTGTATATGTTCTTAAAAATATTTATTTCATAGTTTGAGAGAGTTTTGTACATGACATGGGTATATCTTTTTACAATTTGAATCTTTTTACAGTAAATTTTAACATTGTATGATATCCTTTCATTTTTGGTGAGAAATTTATTTGTAAAAATCTGGTGCGGCGTGCATTACAATACTTTCACTTACCAGTCTATTTAAATAGTTAAATTTCTGTTCAAATGGGGCTAGTCAACAGTTAATTATTATTTAAATCTATTATCGTTATCAACGTTATTAAAAGTTATTACCATATGTTTTATAAATCCGTAAAAAGTGCTTGAAATACTTTGAGTATTATGCACTTCTCTCACACAGCTACGATAAAATAGTTTATAAAAAAATCTAGAACCTCTATTCAATGGATTATATATTTTAAATTTATAGAGCTTAAATAAGTTTAAATTAAATTTTCTATGGTAATAATTTTACATAGAATCATCTGATTTCGGTTAAATAGTATTAATTTTCAGAAATTATTATTCGTAATTTCTTCGTCACCCTCTATTACTTTCTGTATTTCCGTAGAAACCAATATGGCGGTAATCCCGATTCGAGTTATATAATTGACCAACAATAAAAATGTCAGTATTTAGTTGACGCAAAATTTGATGCTCTACAACTTTGATTCTATGGAGTTTTCCTCCTAGGAGACTCATTTTCAAGTTACAGGGCCATTTATAGTAATTTGTCTCAGTTTTTGACAAATTTGGTAAAAATCAGCGTTGGTTGACCGTGGTTTTGTACCTTACCGCGCAACCAAATTATAACGTTTATGTACTCGTTTGACGCAAAATTTAACCTTCTTTAATTTATTAATGAATACATTTTTAACTTTGATGAATCGTTAGGAGTTGTAGGTGAAAAAAATATCGAAAAAACCTGTCTTTTTTTTGGCTGTAAAATGTTTTCTCTTGGTGGCCCGCGTTAGTTAATTTTGTTTTTTACATGTCTAAACCCATATATACAAGTTAAAGAAATAAAAAAAATTCTCACATTTTTCGCAATGGATTTCCCATTTCGATACTTAAATTATTGGCCTAATATTCTTTAAATCAGCCGCCATTTTTTAAAGTAGCGGCTCTGGAACGACAGATAAGGTTCTTTTTACTTTGAATAACATACATTTCCGTAATTTACAATCAAACCTTCGTCTGCGATCAGGTCCTTTGGGTCCAGGTTCCAGGCCAATCAGGAGCGGTCAGTTAGGAGGAACCTACATATGACGTCATACCTAGACTGCCGAGCAGCGCCAACGAAATAGGTTCCTTTCTATTCCAATTAAGCAGTGCTCAACCGCCAGCGGTCGCTGCCGTGGGCAGTACCAGCGAAATATTACCTTATAATTACCTTGTAAAATTTAAAAATATAAAATTATGTAAATTATTTACACACGAGGGTACTGCATTAATAGCCTGTTTTTTTTTCCTCTTAGAAAGCTAATTTCACAGCAGAAGTGTGATTTATAGAACAAGATTTTTTTTTCTTCTCAAGCATTGGCCGGCGGGACTTGGGTGGAGGTCTTGATGCGGCCCGCGGGGCAAAAAGTTAGCAGACTCCCTTGCTCTTGAGTAACCGATTGCAGATTGATCGATTACAGAGGGACAGAAACAATAGTCTACAGAAACACCCCATTTTCACATCCATGTTTACAATGGTTCATAATCAATATTATTATTTTTTAAATATAATTGCACGTACTTGCGCGCAAATTTAACCTTACCAACAATAGTCGCTAAATCTATACATCCTTCGAAAGAAAGCTTTGGTATTATGGTGTATCCTTCCAGCGTCGGCAAGTTGAATTTGAATCTACGGATAAGTGCGCTGTTACATATAATAAGGGACATATTTATATTAAAATTTCGAAATATTCATATTTTGAACTAGAATTTTTTTATGACACGATCATATGGTTTTCGGATCGATAACACACAAGAAGTAACGTGAAGGTTTATTGTCTCTAATTGATAACTTTTTTTTTTCTATTTGTGTATTATTTTTTTTAAGAAGTTCTGCAAACATGTTTCCTGTGTTCAAGTCCCACGAATGCACTAAATATATTTTCTGTTATGCCAGTAATGGATTCTCTTTGGGAGACCTTCGTTAGGCACACTCAGCCTCTTTTATTTTTTAATGGAATAAGTTGTTATTTTATATTTTGAAATTCATTCTCCCTGAATGGAAACATATAAGAATCCTACTTGACGCCAAGAAACACCGTAATCTTTTTTGTTTATATTTAAAAAGAAATCTTTAAAAAATACTAGATTTTTAATTTACTTGTAGTACATATATATTTTTACAAGAAATTAATTTTTATGTATTAAATGACAATACAAGAATTGAATAAAATATATTTTTATTCTGGACATGAGACTGGCCCCATACAAATAATATTAAATGACAGTAATATGAACTAATTTAGAGTGCAAATGAAGGTCGATTGAATGCTTTTTCATTATTTATCACAGCTGTTTTCCATTATGTTTGATTTTTAAATAATATATTTAGTGTTTTTATTTATTTATTTACTTTTTTGTTTTTTCAAAATGTTCTTATTCAAATCCCACTAAACACCGAATATTATTTTTAAATTTTGTTAGAATTTTTTTCTTGATAGACATGGTTGACTAGATTCATCTTTTCATTGGCCTCAGATGAAAAAATTTGGAAGTTAAATCAAATTCTTGTTCTCGCCCAATCTCTTTACGAATTACCTTAACACCGATTCAATTAGACTTTCAATGGGACTTCAAACATTTCGGAATATAAATTGCCTATTAGGACTTGACTATCCGGACATCCACATCCTTATTAGGCTAACTGACTTATTTGACATTCCCTTAAATTAAGTTGGAAGTTTTCAGGCAATGAACTGTAATATTAAAATTTTTCCGGTTACTATATTCCGCATATTGGTTCAAATAGTCATTTTGATTTAGTCTATAATGAATAATATTTCTGTACAATAAACTCGAATTGTTTCAAAGCACACACGGGATATCACTGAACGATTTCAATAGCCAAACATTGAAATCCGTTCGAAGATTCATAAATCTGGTGCGGTGCGTTCATCACACAGCTTTTACTTACCACTTTAATTTTAGTAGAAATAGGTATTTTAAGACATAGGTTAGTGAAAGTAAAAATTACCGATGATACAAAATATTATTTTAAACTATTAATTACCATATGTTTTTTTCTCAGCTGTCGAATGATTTCCATTTTGTTACAAATAATTTCCGTTTACGACTGTATTTTTTAAATTATTTATTAATTAAATAATTGTAATAAATAATTAAGTACCACTATATTTTTTTAGTCTAAAAAAAATTGGCAGTGATGATAAAGATCGTTATATTTATTAATATTTCATTGTGTGTACTTTTATTTGTAAGAACTCGTACACATACAAATTTTAATTTTTATATTGATGTAATATATACAATTAAATATTAAATAATACCAGCGCTAGCATTTGTGAAATGTGCACCGTATTTTCGAAGCCCCTAGTATATTAAGCGTTACGAAGTCTAAACTAACCTTTCGGAGAAGCTCGGGTGCGCATTCGGGTTTATTCGGTCTCTTTATTTCTTATCCCTCATTTCTCCTTTAATTAATTATTAAATTCTTTAGTAATTTGTATTTAGCCATTTTTTTATTCTATGTCATAATTTGAAGTGGTTAATTATTTTTAAAAAAGTATCAAAGATACTTTAGAGGAATACAATCGGGAATTCGGCATTTAACCAATTTCAGATCATTTCATAGAATTAACATTCTTGAAGGAAGTTATTCGACTGTTCTACATATCATGGGTGATAAATATTCAGGACGCAGTATTTTTTAATTTTTTTTATTTTTGCCAACGTTTCAACCCAAACATGTGGGTCATCTTCGGGGCTGAAAATGTTTTTTTTAAATTACAATCAGAGATATAATAGTATATGACCGCTAATTATAAATAATAAACTATAGTGATTGATGGTACATGATGGCACCCCCTTCTCCTCTTACTATGTTTACCTACCTTTTGCTATCAGCAAAAGGACAACTGGGAAATCCTCCACCCCTGACCTTTTCACTTACCTACCAAACATGTGTCAGTACTTGAACACCCTCAGTGCTCAAACCACGGTTATTTAGAGAAAATATTACAAATTTATATAAATGGATTATATACATTATTTTTTTATTATTTTTGGTTTGTATAACCATTTTAATATGAGTATTACAATATTAGTTAAGATTCATGTGCCATCAATCACTATAGTTTATTATTTATAATTAGCGGTCGTATACTATTATATCTCTGATTGTAATTTTAAAAAACATTTTCAGCCCTGAAGATGACTCACATGTTTTGGTTGAAACGTTGGCAAAAATAAAAAAAAAATAAAAAAGACTGCGTCCTGAATATTTATCACCCATGATAGAATTAACATCTATCTTTGTTGATAATTTATTGGTTGTGATCTTTGATAGTGAACACCTTTTTATAATTAAAAAAAAAATTCTCTGCAAGTTAACATTCCTTAAATTTTTACTCACCTCTTTTTAAAAAAAATAGCAAATCCAAGTTCCATACTTCCTGTGTACCTCCTTCCCAAGCAAACGACAGCCATTCCTTTCTTCCAATCGTTGTGAAGTTTTTATATCTGACCATGCTGTTGTCATCCAAAGGTTCTGAATTTATTCGTAAATCCCATGGACCCTGTAAATTATTTATCAAAGATGTTTTATTTTGTTTAAATATATCACTCTAGTTTATTAAATTATCAGAATATAGATCGGAATTCACGAAAGAATATTTGGTTGCTTGAACCTGTAAACATCTCCCCCTCCCCCCAATAAAAGTCAACACTACTTTAAGTGATATCTTCCGAAATTAATATCATATTAGTTGCCCCGTGCGAATTATTCGCAGAAAATTTTGTTTAGTGAAGGAATAGGAAAACAATATAAAAATAAGTAGATACCTTGTATTATGTGAGGGAGGAATTAATTGCTTTTCAATATTCCATTTAACATAATAGACCAAAATATTTGTACAAATTGCTTTGGTATATTTCTAAACGCATTGTGGAAAGGTAACATTCAAAACAAAGCCTCGATCATGGGATTTTCTAAATTATTAAAAAATATAAATTGTACATACAAAAAATGCCTTTAAGAAATAATAAAGTATACATCAGACAGAAAAAAAAAGTTAAGGAATAGTAAATGCAGTATCTTTAAAGAGGAAGAAATTATTAGAGAGAGAATCACTTTATTATCATAAAATGATGCTGCCCAATTACATTGGGTTGCTAAAAACACAGTATATATATGTATTATTATTATTAATTTTTTTGTATATCCATTTTTTTAACATTTAATTTCCCCTTCTCTCTCTTTATCTATTTTTTTTTTCAATTTTCCATTAAATAAATAAATACATAAATATAATAACTGATGGAATGTATCTTTGTTAATAATTGTTCGATTTTTACAGTTCTTGTTTTGTTTTTAAATAAATTAGTAATCTTTCTAATTCTTATGGCTGCAATCAAGAATAAAAAGCATAATTTTTTAGTTATTCGCAAATAAATTTTCTTTTCCTTCATAACTTTTTTTTTTTTTTAAATTTGGGAGGATGTGGGTATTTTTCTCTCCTGGATGTGAAGAGGATCTTTAAAATGAGGGCTCAATCAATGGATTTGATGAAGAATTGACGAAGTTATGTCGTTGCGGCAAACCTCCCCACCAAAAAAAAACCCCAATTAATTATAAGAACCTCATAACCTTATCTCATTTTATTGGCTGCACTATATAAGGCCAAAAAAAAATCTGGTGCGGTACGCGCATCACACAGCATTTACTGTAGAATTGGGCACTTTTATATTTACAGAAGAAATGTTCATTTAAAAAAATTAATTAGTTATATTGATTTTTTTCCTCCCATACAATATGCTAAATTTATTTATACGTTTGGGTGACTTTCCATTTCCTTTTATTACTCTATATAATATCTAATAATATTTATGATAGTATTGGAAAAATGGATCTTTTGGAAAAATTCTGAGCTTTATCGAAACATCTATGACGAAATTCGTTGTTTAATAATAATAATATATTATATATTATTAGGTTTATATTAGTAGATCCTCAACATTTAGATGGCCTTTTTTATAAATTATGGGTGAGTGCAATACAACATTTAACAATACGAAAGCACTTAACTGTTCAGAGAGATTTCCGGATCTATAAATGTAAGCGATCGGCAAAAGTCGGGCACTCTCGGCTCTATCCGCCGGTTTTAGTTCCCAACTGTTGTTTCTCCTTTTGTCAATAATAATTTTTTTTCATTGATTATTTTTAATTTTTTTTTTTTACTAGTTAAAACATAAAATGATTTTAAATAAAAAAACCTTCAATAAAAATAATTAAAGGTACTTTAAAGGAAGAATTTTTGAAAATTTGGAATTTAAGCACTGCCAGATTATATCAATGAACATAGCATTTAACTGGTATTAAAGAATACTTTGTTTTACATTGGTTCAAAGATTTTAATAAAGTCGTTTAGTTGGTTTCGGGGAAAAAAAGTGTAAATTCGATTATATGACATCCCGAGCTTCTATCTAACGAACCTTAAATACGTTATTTCACTTTCTTACGACTTTTACAAACACACATACCATTTCAAGAAACTTGTTTTTTTGGACTCAGGCAGGGTTGCCCAGAAGGGGGTTTCATTTTTTTAATTCATTTTTAATTCAAAATTTTTGAGGGGCGCGTATTTTGATGTGATTATGAATTTTCGGAGAAAGGGACGACAAGAGGAAACGTGGAACAGACTGTAAGTGTAATTGCATATGACGTACGATTTTTCTCATTTGCTCTTTTTTTAAGAAACGTGAGCAATAAAATACCTTGGGAGGGGGGGGGGAGTTGAGAGGGTAGATTCTTGCGCCATCAACCTTGGAGAGAAAGGGCACCCCTAGACTCAGGTAATCTTGTTTTTTACTTTCACTTATAGTCCGTCGGTCAGACGTCCCTACCGTGTACCCTCTCTCCCCCCTCCCCACATATCGTTGTATCTCCCCACATAAGTTGCATATCGTTGTGTTGTTTGTAACTACTTATTAAAAAAATGCCAATGTTCCCACAAAAAAATATGAACGAACTGCCCCTAAATGGCTTCCAAACATGACCGACTGACGACTTTGACTTTAGTTAGTTTTTTGGTCACTGAGAATCAGCATTTGACTTAATTTCGGCATAATTGGTCTTTTATTAAAGCAGGGTAGTCAGAGAATGGGTAAAACATGAAAAAAATATTAAAAAATAATTGGCTTAGGCAATAAAAAACACCAGTAAAGTCAATATTTTTAACAAATTAATTTTCAAGTTGAAAATCAAGCATCGTTTGTATTTAAACGGCTAAAAATAACGCAAAATGTGCTGAAATAAACCATCTGGAGAATATATTTCCCTAAAACACTGATTACTTTTTAAGATATTTGAAGCGCTTGAAAATAGACATAAGCGACAGAAAAGCCGTACTGGCGTGGGTGCCTATATGCCTCTACCATACCATTCAGTGCTCATAAATGGCTTAGTTATAATGTTATAATAATGTTTTTTGTACATTATATTGATCGTATTAACGAATAAATGTTAATGCAATAACTTAATTGTCCAAAAAAAAAAAATAAATAAATAAAATGCACTGTAGGGGGTTCTGGCTCACCGTGTATTACCTATATATGAAATATATAGTAAAGGAAAGTATTGCGATAGTGAGCATTTTCAAATCTTTATACTTACTGATTCTAGTACAGGAAGAAAATTCGTTTTTTTTCATTTATTTATTTATAATACATTTACATCTTGTCGTAACCTACTACTTTTTTATTTACGAAATTTCTCGGCATTCTACAGTGGGATGAGTAAGGGAAAACTTGCGACATATATTTGAATCGGTCTAAATCTCTAAATTTCTTTAACCCCAAAAACTAAATAAATTGTTTTATTGATACCTTGTGTTGTTGGTGGAGTTTTCGAGAATATTTTGAGTTGGCACAATGTAAATCTTTCACTGTTTTTTTTTTGTTAGTTCAATTTAAAAAAAAAATGATTTAAACGATGTCGCGTGTTGGGGCGATTTCAATCTGGAGTTCGGTAAGCTAAGTCTATTTAATCAGGTACTAAAAACTCATGAACACCTATTTGCGTTCCAATTGATTCATAAGATAATTTATTCACAAAATCAAGGAAAAAAGGTGGCCTAAAAAAATATTGAGTCGTTTGGTCTATATAACTCGGTATATTGACATTTTGGGGATGGACACCAAAGGGCCTAACATTTTTGTAGGCCACCTTTTATCTTGATATTGCGATGAAATTATCTTACGAATCAAGTGGAAGGCAAATGGGTATTCATTAGTTTTTACCTCATCAAGTTGGTTAATTGGCCCATTCCTGAGAGTTATCGTTAATAAAAAAACTTGTATGTTACGATAAGAAGAAGACGTCAACGAAATTTAAGACGGATGTTAATAGTTTGATAAAAGTAGCTCTGTATTATTCTCATGGTCTAATCGTTTTCGCAGTATATTTAGTACTATTCTAAAGCTTTAAAAGCAGACGAACAGTTTTGAAAAAAAGAAGTTTCCTTTATTTTTAAAGATGGATGTCATTTAATTATGGTTATTCTTATTGCTCATTTGTAACCATGTTAAGGGAGAAATAATTCAGGGAATAAGAAGTGTGGTGTCTTTGTTACAGTCCGTCCCGCTGGTTTCTTCATTACAGTCCGTCCTGATTGGTCTATGTAAAATAAAATGTGGCACGTTCACTAAAAACATTTTTATATAATAGGGAGATTTATTTATTTTTTTAGTTATTTTTCTAATTTGGGGGACTTCAACCCGAAAGCCTCCCTTCCCCTCAAATCCACCAGTGGAGTGCATATTTATAAAATTAATACTTTAATTATATTACCAATTTTCTACATTTTTTTAAAAATTATTTCTTAATGATGTCTACAACTGTATTAAAGAAATAAATTTAGTAAATTTGAACATATGGATATAATGACGTGAAAATACTAGTTGAGTAACTACCCAATGGTAGCACTCTAATGATATGTCTACATTAGGAGATCACGGGGCCATCTTCTTTTCAGATGCCTCGGAGGGTTATCAGGAATTGAAGAGGAAGCAAGGTTAGAAACGAGAGGGTTGGGATGATTCTGAAGTTTATTATGGAAGGGCCAGGTCTGAAACATAAGAAACATTAAGGTCATTATGGGTGGTTTTATTTGTAACAAAGTAGGGAGCATTGAGGATTTACGAAGGATTTTGGATTGTAAAGAGGAATTCGATGGTTTAGTGGAGCCCCATAGCTCAACTCCGTAAGTCCAAATAGGCCTTAATATAGTCATATATATGAGTCTTTTGTAATTAATTGGAAGTTTAGAGCGTTTGTCTAGTAAGTGCTGAAGTAATCGGAAACGTCGAGCGGTTTCTTGTCGTTTCGGTCTGGTATAAACTACAAGTTTAAATGTTAATAGATGGAAGAATTATGAATTAACATGCCACTTTCATATATCGCCAACTTTGAAATACTTTTCCTGTTCAGTAGAATTTCATTTGGCTTGATAATTTTGAATATTTTTCAATTATTTCTTAATATTTACAAACATATTATTACGGAAAAAATACTACCTGATAAAAATAAAACAAATATACAAATAATGATCACATATATTTATTTCTTAGTATAATGTAAACGTTAGTACTTCTTAATGAAATGTCCATTGCTCTGTCTTTTTTTTTTTTTGTCCTCGCCTTTAAGGCTATACAGGGTTTTCCCCGGCCAGGGGTGTGGGCAGGGATTTAAAAGACTCCATCGGCACCATTGCTTTAGACTTGTCTATTTTCAAGAACTTTTTCGTATTCTATTCCAGGGATGCTCATCCCCCCAAAGTCGATGGAGCATGAACCTCTCCAAGACTTTTTATTGTTCTCCTCTTCTTAAAAACATTACAAACAAAAGTAGATTTTAAAATTTCGTAGATTATATTCAATTACACAACCTACAGTCTATTCTATATTTCGATCCTTTTTTTTATTTAAAACTTTTCACATCGAAAATTTATTACTCCATCGAAATGTGTCTCCCTCCCAGGGATGCCCATCCCCCCAAGCTCGGTGACACAAGAACCTCCTCCTTCCTCCCCCTCTTCCAAAGATAGTTTATTAGCCACCTATTCTTAAAAACAAAGCAAGCTAAAGTAGAATTAGAAAAATCGTAGATCATATACAATTACACTTGCTACGGTCTGTTCCAATTTTTTCTCCTTGTCTCTTAGTCCGAAAATTCATAACCCCGTCGAAATTTGTCACCTTCAAAAATTCAAAAACCCGCCAAAATGTGCCTCCGCCACGAAACCCCCTTCTGGACACCACTGCTGTGTCTCCATAATTTTGAATTCTTATTATAGTTTTTCTTTTAATAATGTGACATGTTTTCACTTGTTACCAGAAAAACTTATGTAAGGATATTTCTGGTGATAATTTTTATTTATTTTTTTAAAACCTATTATCAGAAATATCCTTATATAAGTTATTCTGCTAACGAGGGAAAAATGTCACAGTAAAATATTGGTGATAGTTAATATAGAATTTATATTTTTTTATATTCTCTTCATTCCATACTATTTTCAAGACTTAAACATAAACAGTTTTATAACGAAAAAAAAAAAAAAGGAAGTGAAGTAATCGAAATGAATATTCATTTGAATTTGAGTTAGGCTGTGAATAATTTTCAAATGCACCAAGGTCGGTTCAAGTTATAGAATTATATAAAGTATTATAAACTGTTTAAATCTTTAGGTGTAATTTTAAATAAAATTTGTGTAATAATAGCTAGAAGCGAATTTCTTTGGAGGATTGTATTATGCCTTAACGAGCATGAAAGCCGCTCAAACAACATAAATAATAGCTCTATTGTTAAAATATAGAATAAAATATTTATATATGCCTAATTGAGCTGTTTATTATACTTAAAAATTCGATTAAAATGATATAATTCAATAGGCAAGTTGCCTGGTCTGTATACATAAATCCGACACTGATGATAGGACTAAATTTGATTTTTAAATGGTTGTATCCCTGATGGTTCAAATGGTTGAGAAACTCATTTTTACCACTACTCGTGTAGGTCTATTGTGTTTGTCTTTGTCTTATATAGTACAGGGAAAAAAAAATCACCAAAAATATCCACCAGTCATAATTTAGTATCAGTAGTAGAAATTTAAATATGTTGATTTCGCCCATATTTCGGGGGAGGGGGAGGGAGCAAAATTTGCCGAAATGAAAATATATTGGTAAATAATTTGTACAAATTAGGTTTAATTAAAATGATTTTTTTTTGTTAAATATATTTATGAATAAAATTATATTTATTTTTACTTTGTTCTTTCATTGACTGAACCCAACTAACTTCTCTAAAAAATAAATATATTTATCTACTTTGAGGGGGGGGAGGGGCTTAGCTCCGAAACTCCCATACTCTCCCTGTAGATTTTCCACTAATGTTAATTAAATAATGCAATAACGACAATGATTTTTTGATGGATATTATTATATAAAAAACAACAAATAATTGTTGTTGCTAATTAATAAAAAGAAAACACAAAATTTGTATACTTATTTTATGTATGAAATCTTCCATGCCCAGTTTTCATAAGCAGTTATATGAGAACAAACACCAAATCTGTGTTGCATGGGGAATTCGAGTGTTTTGAACACGAATTCGTCAAATAAACATATTCGTTAAGGACAGCATTTTTTTTTTTTTTTTTTTGGAGGGTGGCCTTAGGTTTTTGCCGCCGTAATTATTATAGTTATAAACTTCTTCATTGGATATTTAGAATCTCTTGGGTCTCCTTTTTCTGTTTAGCATTTTAAAATTGAAAAAATATTCAGTTATGCAGGTATAATCTCCATTAAAAAAAAAACACCTTTTTGCACTAGTGATGGAAATATCTAAGATGTTTTTTTTTTCTTGTTTTGCATTCGCCGCCGTAATTATTGTATTTATAAACTTCTTCGTTGGGCATTTAGAATCTCTTGGGTCTCCTTTTTATATTTAGCATTTTAAAATTGAAAAAATATTCAGTTATGCAGGTATAATCTCCATTAAAAAAGACAACACTTTTTTGCACTAGTGATGGAAATAGCTAAGACATTTTTTTTTCTTTTTTTGCTTACGCCACCGTAATTATTATAGTTATAAACTTCTTCGTTGGACATTTAGAATCTCTTGGGTCTCCTTTTTCTATTTATGCCAATTAAAAATATTCAGTTATGCAGGTATAATCTCTATTAAAAAAAAAACACCTTTTTGCACTAGTGATTGACACCCCGAACTTCAATTCTTCTAGTAATGGACAGGGGGTTGGTGCCAGTAATGGACATGTCAGAAAAATTCTTAAAAAATTATATATATTTATTTATTTAGAAATATAATAATCTGTCACATGGAAAATAATTATAGTGAGATATGAACACAGTCACACCATATATACAGGAAACATAAAATTAAAAAAAGTAAAATAATAATCAAACAACTATATACAACGTACGAACTATGAACTATGTACAAAATTCTAAATTTTTATTTATCTATAAAGACCTTTATGTAAAATTATTAACATCTCTCAAATTTTTTTTATCTACGACAATTCTCAGAAATGGGTCCTTTTTTCATTAAATTAATTAATTTAATGAGGTACTTAAAAATCATAAATTATTTTAAGCTTTAATTAAAAATTAAAAAAAAAACTAAAATAAAGCTTTCTACTTTATAATTATAATCGTAATATAATTAAATCACAAAATCGAAGAGGAAAAAAAAGAAAAAGCGACCTACTTATATTGGGCCGTTTTGTTAATATAACCTCTTTATTTTGACATGAGGTCGAGGTCACGTCTAAAGGTCCAGTATTTTTGCACTTTTTTTTCTCAATTTTGTGATTAATTATCTCACGATTCAAGTGGAAAGCAAAAGGGTGTTGATGAGGTTTCTGTACCTAGTTAAATAGACAAAATTTGCCTATCTCCAGATTGAAAAGGCCCCGATTCCGAGAATTTTCGTAATGCAAAAGCTTAAGATGAGATGAAGTTATTGATAAAGCTTTAGGCGGATGTTAATAAATTCATAAAACGGAATATGTACGACGGACTTATAGATCAATTAAAAAAAAGAAATATATATATATATATATATATATATATATATATATATATATTTCCATTTTTTGGTGAGGCTCATCCCAAAGATTTAGCCCAAAAGCTCAACCCCCCCCCTTATGTTGTTAAAAACTGTCAAATAGAATAATCGATATACCAAATCGGATATTCCTACCAACACTACCTACAACAATAACATCACTCGCTAGCAAATAATAACAACATTAAAAAAAAATTAATTATCGCTCTGAAACGATTGAATTAAAGTGAACTGTGGAAGATAATATCATAATAACTAGAATCCAGTTCAGTTTAATTGTTTTAAAATCACCTGGCATCCTTTCGCCTGATAAACAGCCAAAGCGAATAGTAGCACTGACGACAGCTGATTTGAACCCATGTCGACTGCTTGGCGTCTCTTTGCAGACTAAATACTAAAGTGGTTAATTTCTGTGCCAATGAGAAAAAAGTGTAGGATGGAGGGAGTTTTAGATCGTCAGATACCTGTTTCAATGTCATGCGTCCGATATCTGTCATCCCAGTCTTCCTGTCATGTGAGGATGTTACGTGACGAGATTAGCTTGGAAAAAAAAATCTGGTGCGGTACGCGCATCGCACATCTTTCAATTATCAATCACTCTACCTTGATTAGAAATAGGCACTTGAGTGAAAACCTACGGAACAACAGATTCATTTTTAAAAAAATCTGGTGCGCGCAACACACAACTTTCACTTACCGATCTACTTTGACTAGAAATTATTTTCTGGCAATGCTGGGCTATTATAAAAATTTTTGAAGTGCGTTTTAAACGGAGCTAAAGCTTAAAGCTTACAGATAACAAATGATTAAGACCTTTATAATTACAAAATGTCTATTTAATATATCGACGACAGGCAATAAAAATCTAGTCACTCCATCTGCTTTTATAAACCACACAACTTTCTTTGCTTTTATATACCACAGAACGACTAACTCCAATTTCAACATTTTTGAGTGATGCCATTTTAGTAATAGTTTTAGTTGAAAAAGTTATCTATGCAGACAATGAGTAAGTTGATTCCAGAGGTGGTGATTGCAGTGTTGAAATATAGAACTGAGAATAAAGGTATAAATTTAGGTACTTATTTCTTATGAAAGATGTTCTTAGGAAAGACACTTTATTAAATATCTGTAGAAAAAAGGTTTTTTTAGTCTCAACAATTAAAAAAATATATTTTAAATTTATCCAAATTTTCGCCTCTTCAGGGAAAAAAACTAGAGACCATATCTTTCCTCCTAATTGTCCGATTTTTTTTGTTTTTTTAGGAAATTCCATAAACTTTTAAAAAACCATATACAATATCCCCAAAAAAGCGTATACTTTTTGAGTTATTCGGAATTTAATTTTAACATCCCTCGTAACTTTTTTTCCATCTTCTTTTCGTTGAAGTATGTTATATAGATAAATTTAAAGGGTATCGAGAAAATGACTTTAGCGAAGTTTCATTGAAAACAGTGCATTCGTTTAGGCGCTACAGTCTATAGCAACGCAGGTTTTTCTGCACTTTCATTTTTTTTTCTCCTTTATTAACTTATCAAATAATTTCAAAAGTTATATGTTGCATTTTTTTGTAACTCTGAATAATGCGAAATGGTTAACTTTTTAAAATAAACCATATTAAAGGTACTTTAGAGGAAGACAGATATGAACATTGGGCATTTAAGCCCTGTAAAGTGACATCAACGGGGATAAGATCTAAATGACATTAAAGACCACTTAATTATACAATGATACACCGGGTTTGATCAAAATCGTTAGAGCCGTTTTTGAGAAAATTGTAAAAATGTGTTCCAGCGTTCATATAAAGTGGCACTTCCGGTTAGCCGATTTTAACGAAAAAGTTGCTGTCACATCCGGCCCATATAGAAACCTTAAGTACTTAATATCAGTTTCGTACTACTTTTCGTTTATGAGCTATACTGTTAACATACACACACACACACAGACAGACCATTTTGCGACACTTGGTTATTTGAACTCAGGGGACCTCAAAACATGTATTTCCGTTGACAACTGAGATTCGAAAATTTTCACGATCGCAATACTTAACCTTACTATATATTACATATATATACCTAAGTGAAAGTAATAAATATTACTAACCAAAAATATTTTGGTCGGGTTCAAAATATTATAGGAAACAAATATACGAACGTTAATAAAGAATATCTTATTACTAGACAAATTAAAAAGGAATAAAATAAATTAATAAAATGTGAGAGTGAATCTTTATTATAAGTTATGAGCTTTATACAAAAAATTTGCAGCTAAACAAGTTAAAAAATTTCCGATTTTCAGGAAAAAGTTGGTGTAACATCTACTTACTTCGGGCTTTCGGTTGAAAACTTCTTCCCCTCCTCTCTTCCCCAAATGGTAAAATGTAACCGTGTTTTATCGTAAAAAATATTAAAAAAACATCTCTTAAAGTATTGTTGTAAGAATAACTTAAACACTATTTTATATATGTTGTACTAACAATATCTTACTTTTTTTTTTCAACAAAGTAATTATCGTTATATATATATATATATATATAAAGTTTTCGGGCTGTAGCCCCCCAAAATTAAATTTTGGGATCCGCTAGTGGCTTACCTTATATACGTAATTTCACTTACGTACGACTTTTCGTTTTTGAACTGGACTTCACATACACACAGACACAGAGCATTTTCTGGAACTTGGTTATTTGGACTCAGAGGACCTCAAAGCGTGTATATCCGTGGAAAATTGCCACTAATGCAATAGCTTTTCCTTACTATATAATACATATATAATTTAAGTGAAATTAAAAAGGCATTAATATCAGTAGATATATATATGAGCCTTTCAGTTGACAAAATGACGTAACTCCAATTTCAACATTTTTGTTTATTAATTTTTGTGATATTTCTAGTGAGAAAACAGTTCTATATTCCAACACTGCAATCAGCTACTCTGGAATCAACTTACTGACAGTCTGTACAAATATTTAACATCTGTTAGTTTTTCAACTACAAAAATCACTAAAATGACTTAACTCGAAAATGTTGAAATTTGAGTTAATTATTCTTTAAACTGCAAGTCTCACAGATTATGTAAATATTAGTTGATGCTGAATAAGTCGCATGAAAATTTTTTTCGTTTTTGTTTTTTTTCGACGTATTTATAGGTAGCAACACTTTCCCTTACCACATATTTCATATATAGGTAAGCGAAATAAGGCTGTAAATAATAAATCACAGTTATTTAGAATAGAAATTTATTTTAAATGTTATATTTTACAAAATCTCTAATCCTTGGACATGCAAGGATTAGGTCAGAACCCTTTCTAGAAACCCGAGGACCCAGTCGCCAATCCGTTTCAGCCAACTCCTCTGGTCGTCATCTCCTAAAAATAAAAATTAATATACGTTCTGTGCATGGACAGCTAATCCATAATAGTTATGGATCCATAACAGTTTAATATCCTACCTTGATCGTATAGTTCTTTGAAATAACCCTTTATCTTGTTCCAGACGGTTTTTTTCTCTTCGTCGTTTAAATCGTATTCTTCTCTCTTCTTCCTGTTTAGCATTATCTGATCTGCTTCCTTTTCCTGTTATAATAATAAAAATATATTGCTAATTATGTTTTATTTTTAATAAATTACAACTATAAAATGTAATATTAATACAATGGGGCATTGGTCACGTGACTGTTTGCCTGAGTTGGTTGGCGTGCTTTTTTTGCTACCTGGTTGGTTGTGTAGTAAAGGCGTAGAATCTATTCGTCATCAACGCCCTTAATTAAAATTATATATTATTATATCTTCTGGTTGAGAATAATAAAATTAAAAATACATAAAATGCACGTTAAGGTTAAAGTTGTTTACGGTTATTAAAGTTTAGTTATTTAAAGCTAGGTTTGTAGTTAACCACTTTTAAAAATACAATAAAAATAAAACAAGAAAGAGTAAAAGGAAAAGGGGAGGGAGAAAGGAAAAAAAATAGAGTTTGGGAGAGATTCAGAGATTGTCAAAGATTCCTTCTTCAGAGAGAAAACATATGACTTTGCTCAAGCATTTTTCATCGTTTCCCAAAACAGGCGATGTATTTGCTGGTATTCTTATTTTGTTTAATTCTCTGATATAAAATGCACACCTCTCGAAGATATGGACCGCTGTCATTCTCTCTCCACCGACAAATAGACGGGTTTTATTTTGTAATTAGGTGAAGGTGCTTAAGCCTGGTATGAGAGTTCGTTGCCGACATTGACATTGATTAATATTTAAATTTACACATGAGCATTGAAAAGTAATATATCCTGGTTATATTTATAAGATATAATTTTTACTTTCATACCTACACTAGGTATTGCGATCGGTTCAAATTTCCGATATGCGGTTTTCGACGGATCTATACGTTTCAGAGCCCTCTGAGTCCGAAAAACACCATTTTTAGCCATTGGTCTGTCTGCCTGTCTGTTCCAAGATTTTCTCGGGAACTACAGATCCGATTTTGTTGCTTCTTTTTTTATTTTGTAGGGTTTTAACTGTACGATTCAGAGCCTCCTCAGAGTTCGAAAACACGGTAATGAAATTCCCTACAAAACTATATAAAAATCGTTCATTTCTGATAACTATTATCGAAGTTGCTGCTGTTCAATTTCTAAAGTAAGATTGCGGGTACATATCCTGGTGTCAGAGAAAAAAGGTAACTTAGTGAAAGTAAGAAAATCTGTTGCCTGAATCACACAAGCTTCACTATTACCTCTACTTTTAACAGAAATTATTGTTTGACAAAATTAGGTTATGGCAAAAAGTTTTCGATCAGCAATATTAGAGGGCATTGAAATTTTTACACTGATCTACCTTTAGCCCGTTTACATGGCTTTAGTTTATCAAATAAACCATACTCAAATCTTTTCTTTCATCAATTTTCTGGAAAATTAATCTAATTCATTTTTTGTTTGTTTCTTGATGGACATATGTAAAGATATAAAAACTTTTCTGAAATATGTAGGAAAGTCGTGTGAGTGGACAGATTTATTGTAATACAAAAATGAAAATATTTTACACATAAGAATTTATAAACAAACACTCACAATTACGAATTATAACCAAATTAAAAATACACATACCTACACATTATTTACACACATCCCTCACTTCATCAATTCAACACGCAAAAAATATAAATTTATGTATCTACTTACATATGTGAGCAAACTTGTCCCATTCAGTCGGAGTATTCCTGACTTGTTACCGGTCAAAAGAATATTACCTGTAAGTTATTATAAATATAACATTATTTTAATGCAAATAAATAATTTAGTTAAAATAAACAGAGAAATTGAGGAAATTATTTTTGAAACTGGCTCACCACTGTTAAAATATTTACAGGAAACACCAAAATCTTAATTATAAAACAAAATAATAACATAATTGTTCTTTATTTTTGAAGTGAAAATATAGAAGCGTTTAGCACTTTTTTTGTGGAATGTGAATCAAAATGAGTCTTCAGATTCCGATGTGTAACGCTCGGGTAAAGTCGGCTGGAGTCGATTAATTGAAGTGTTTTTCAATTTGGATTAAAATATCTCAAAAACCAAAAATCGGACCTGCATGCTGTAGGCAAGGGAATTTTTAAGTATTTCATTCTTTTTTCAATGGTTCAATTATTCAAAAATTTTTCTTAAAGCGACGCCGTATTAGAGAGGCGAAGAAAATAAATAAAGTCGAAAACGAGTTTTATTAAAGATATGGATTAAAATATCTAAGACACTAAAATTCGGACCTGCATACTGTAAGCGAGGGAAATGTTCAGCATTTCATCCCCTTTATGATGAGCTGTTATTTATAATTTTTATTTCACCTTAATTATATTTATAACTTTTATTTATAATTCATATATATATATATATATATATATATATATATATATATATATATATATAATAATCTCACCTTTTTGATGTTTTCACTTCTATCGTGTGGTCTAAAGCACACATGAGACTAACATTTCACTTTGCTATAATTATTGCGGAATAATTCGATAATTCTTTCGATTAGTGTTCACTTTGGAAATACGCGAGTCAAATGCGATTCTCATGTTCTTAAAAGTGGTTATGCTTTTTGCCATAATTAACCGTTATTGGTAAGCTCCGTTTCAATAACTTTAAAAAATGAAGGAGTTATTTCAATAAAGTTTGTTTGTTTGTTTAGGCTAAACCCCTAGGGTCATCAACGCCTGTGAGTCGGTTATATTTGTTAACTCTTTAAAGGATAGTTAATAATTAACAATAGATATAGTAATAAATAAAAAGAAATTTAGAAACATATAAAAGATGAAATATATTAAAATAAATATTAAAAAAGAAAGGACAATAAAATTAAAATTATATTTATTTCTATATTTTATTTAACGTCTATGTATTTTAAGAAATTGTATCACTGTTTTTATATTTGATTCGTTGTTGCTTAACACCGCTGATATATCCGGTTTTAGAGACAATCGATTCAGGCTTGAAGTATAATAAGGGCATTCTTGGAAAATATGGTTGATTGTGAGAAGACTATTGCAGTGCTGACAATTTGGTGGTGGCTGCTTAGTGATGAGATGTACATGGGTTAGGTTCGTGTGTCCTATTCTTAATCTGGCCACAGCGACTTCCTCTCTACGATTAGGGCGGTTTGATGTGACCCAAGACTTAACTGATTTTTTAACAACTTTTAATTTGCTAGGCAGGCTTTCGTTCCACATAGACTGCCAACTATCCAATATTTGTTTTTTGAGAGGAAAACTCATTTCTGGAGGGGTCAGGATAGGAGTACCTCGGTGTGGAAGCGCGAGTGCCTGTTTGGCTGCCGTATCCGCAAGCTCATTACCAACTATACCCACGTGACTGGGAACCGATATAAAACAAACTGATTTTCCTAAATTTTCCAGAGTGTGAAGATATTTGTGTATTTTAACAATAACTGGATGTTTTGAGTACATATCATTTAAACCATTTAATGAACTCAAGGAGTCGGTTATCAAGACTATTGAGGAATTCAATAACGTTGTTATACTGGTAACACGTTATCACATTAAATACTATTTTCAAATAATCAGTAATTTTAGACTGCTAAGTATTTTTAAACGGGTCAAATAGTCCGGTAGCGCTTGGCAAAAAATGTTTCATATTTTATATTATCTTCAACCATTCAAAAGTAATTATAACTTAATTTTTATTCTCCGTACATATACATGTATATATACTGTCTTATATACAGATTAAGAGCTGTGTAATAACAAAAATTACGGAAAGTAAGTTTTTCTGTATAGTCTCGGAATTTAAACATTAAGTTATAATTACTCTAGTCTTTGAATGGTTGAAGATAAGGCAGTAAAGTAAAGTATATTCTTAAAGAAATTTTAATATTAAACAACTTTCTTCCCTATGACATTTTCATTAAATGGAAAAATAATGATAAAAATGCGAGACAAAAAAAGTTGTTTTTCGAAGTTAGTCGTTTACGAAGACGGATATCACGTCACGGAAACTATAGAATACAGCAAAAAAAAAAAAAAAAAACTAATATATCCATATCTGTTGCAAAATTTAGTCAGCTTTAATTTCGCATATAACATTATTATCGATAGAACGCATAGTTTCACTGATATAAGCGAACAACGGAAAAAAGTAAATTTTTTTTATCGTAAATTCTATTTTTCGACTTGAAATGAATTGACGGTTAACTGACTATTATTTCATATCTTAAGACTGTAAGTACTATAAATGAAAAGCGTTGGTGGCTTTATATATCTATAAGCCCTCTCTATCTTTACGCTTACAACCTATGTATGATATCTATCTATATTCACCTGACCGCCATTTTGTATTCCAGCGGCTATATGCTGGCAGACCTGCATTTTCCTCATCAGGCCTGCGGATATGGTCAATTTATCTGGACAAACCTTAGTATGAAATATGACATCTTTATTGTCATGGGCTCTCGGACGTTAAGTACCCATTTCTGCTTTATTCTTAAAACTTTTGTTTTTAAGATCTTTTTTTAAAAAAATTAGATTTTAAAAAACAAAAGTTTTAAGATCTTCGCTTATTAATAGATCTCTCCTTGTCAATTATTCAAAGAACTTCTACACCTCTGATTTTTTTTTTTTTTCTGATTGGTGTTATCAGAAAGGGGACATATAGCATTGTATATATATATATATATATATATATATATATATATATATATATATATATACACACACACACACACACACACACACACACACATACATATAGCATAAATTATATATACAGATATACATACATATAGCATAAATTGTATTTAAAATTATATTACCCAAATGAAATTTCCAGCCCTTCAGGTTGCTCTCGAATTTGATTGGTAGATCCAGGGTACAGATGGTGGCGTTCCAAACGTACTCAAACGGTTGCCTGTAGATCGAGGTCCAGACGACCATCCCGTTGTAAGCCTTCCAGTCCAGTTTGGCTATTATCTGTCTTCTTCGGATGGTGAGGACGAATCCTCCGGTTCGTGTTGCTAAATGGACATATCTTTGTTTTAAGTGAGGAGAACCTACAGTGGATAATATTTTAGTTTAAAGTTATAACTAAACTTTTCATTGTTGTTTTTCCTTTGATTACCATTAATTATAAAAAAAATATACAGACAGCAGTCGCTAGATTCTTACCTTTTCTAGGCCATTCTTTGTAATATAAACTCCATTTTCCGACTGAGTTATAACTCCATTGCCAATTCACGATGTAAATATTATCGTCTGGTTTGTTTCTTTTGTAGGTTGAAAATATCGTGTCGTTGTCAGCGGTGCCGTTCGTCCAAATTTCATGGCAGTTTCCCTTGCGAAATAAAAAATATTATAATAATAAAAATATGATTACAATTATATGAGTCTATTTCTAATGTGAATCCTAAACATTATTGACAATGTATAGGAAAAGCGAAAATTTATACTTTCTATTCCAATTGTAATATCAAAACCAGTATTTAAAAAAAATAAATTCAGAATTTTTTTTTGTATCAAATATTTCAAAAAATCAAATAGCGCCGCTTTTGGAACATTTTTTTTTTGGACATAATATTCTTTCACGGGGACAGTAATTATATTGATAAATGAACACATTCACACCATATATACAAAAAAAAAAAAATAAATATAACAAAAGTAAAATAATACTAAATAAAAACTATATACAATAAAAAATAAAATAACCTAAATAAGTAAATTAAAAACATAAAAATACAGTTGGAACATGTTAGATTTAACAAAGATTGATTCGAGAGAAAAAATCGTGTATGTTTAGAATAGAAAAAAAATTAAAACTGTACAATAAAAATAGACATTTTATTTAAAATATCACTATCATGAAATACATTTATTTTTAATTTTCTTTCGAATAAAACAGTTAACAAAATCCTTTGATAAATTTTTTTTTTTAAATAGTTAAGAAATGTAAGTATCATTACATTCCTAGCTAGATGAACTATAACTCAGGCTTATTTCCTCATCAGTGGAGGCAAAAGCAGGACTCAAGGAGGTCCCAATGCTTCTCTCTCAGACTCCTTACTGTTGTTTAAAGCCAATGGCGGTTGAACGATGCGCTATTGCTATAGGATTTTTTAAAAATTATTTTTTTGAGTAACATAACATTTTGTCACAATATCGATAATGGTTATAATAAGGAAAGAATATAGTCATACCATATTTACGTAATATATAAATAAATAAAATAAAACAGAACCAATCTAAAAAAATCAATCGAAAAGTATATACTGTAAGTACAAATAAAATACACACTGATTAAAATGATTCTGTTTTTATTGCTTATAAATTTTCCTTAGTCAGCTAGAGATGGTATATAGTTATTTAATACTTAATTAAAAATATAAAAACAAATTGAGGATAGTGTAAATATATATATATATATATATATATATATATATATATATATATATATATGATGTCTTCAATATACATTATTGAAATACTTTTTCCGTTCTGTATTTTTCCGCATCAGTTTGTTAACTTACGTAATATCACGAAAGGAAAAAAAACAAAGAAAACACGAACATGCAGTTCCCTCAATTAATAGTATTCTGATACTAGGTAGAAAATTGATCCTCATTTCCTTTCAAAAAACTTGGTCTTAAACATAAAAAATAATAACTTTGTATTTTTTATTATGGAACGTGATACAAGTATTTACGATATTTCATCCAATATTAATTGTTCTACCATAATATAAATTACTTTTCTTATACATAATTATAATTAAAATTAGTTTTAAAAGAAAACATAAAATCATATCACGTAATTTTGACTGTTTTATTGAGACGTAATTTTTAGAAATAATAGTTCGTGGTACAGAACCTCTTTTTATCGTATTATTAACATCCGCCTGAAACTTCGTAAATAGTTTCATCTCATCGTAACGTACGGCTATTTTATTTACGAAAACTCTTGGAATTGGGGCGTTTTCAATCTGGAAGGAGGCAAACTTTGTCAATTTTATTAGTTGCTAAAAACTCGTAAATACACATTTGCTTTCTACTTGTATTGTAAGATAATTTGATCTGAAAATAGATAAAGAAAAGGTCACCTATAAAAATATTAGGCCGTTTATCCTATATAACCTCGTTATTTTGAAAATTTTGGGGTGTAGGTCACGCCAAACGGCTCAATATTTTTGAAGGCAACTTTTTTTCTCGATTTTGTGATCAAATTATCTTACGATTCAAGTAGAAATGAAATGTGTATTTACGTGTTTTATTACCTAATTAAATAGACAAAGTTTGTCCCCCTCCATATTGAAAACGCCCCAATTCCAAGAGTTTTCGTAAATAAAATAGTTGTAGGTTACCATGAGATGAAACTATTTACGAAGTTTCAGGCGGATGTTAATAATTCGATAAAAAGGGGTCTGTACCACGGACTATAAGCTCATAAGGGATAGGAAACTGTCACATTTAAAAAAATACTAATCTATTACTTGCTTAAGTAATTTGATGTGAATAGTTAATTTTTTTCCGTCAATAGGTTATTTAACTGTCCATAATAACCGGTTATTTTTTCCATTCTTTATAAATTCTACACCATATAATATTAATTATAATATTTTTGAAAACAATTTTTCAAAGGAGAATTATTACAATTTTACAAGAGAACTTTTCTCCATCGTATGTTTTATTGAGTTAATCGATTTAACAAGATAGCAGTTCGTATATTTTATATGAATGAAGTATAAAAAACGTATAATTACCTTGCAAGTAGCACAACTCAAAGAAACTACGAAATTAGTTGAAATGAACAAGAGAAAAATCTTCTCCAAACCATTCATGATTACTGGCTGGCTTACTACGTTCCTCCCGAAGTCTTATATAGTCTTATTTTACTTCTTTATGTAGTCATATTTTATTCCTTTTATGGACCGTTTTTCTACGCAAAACACATTGTGGCCATTTTTCGAACGATTTTACGCCTTGTCAATCCGTACAATGGAAGGCCTTGCATATTTCCATGGTATCCTTCTTCCTCACTGAAACCGATAATTATAAACACTCAACTAATGTTGTCGATAGAGGCGATATATTTACACAATTTAAACCAAATAGTATATAAAGTCTAACATTACAGTTTATATGTATATATATTATTGATGTATTATTTACTCTTATAACATACGCATACAATATAAAACCTCCATTAATAATATAATAATAATGATACTAATTTTTCCCTTTCAATGGATAGCGGTTTCAGGATTTAATTTTGGAGAGGGACTTCAGCCGGAAAGCTTTTTTTTCATATATATTACGATAATTACTTTGGAAAAAAATAAAGAAACTAACTATCTATATGAAATGGTGTTTAAGTGATTCCTTAAGTCCTTTTAAATGAAATTACACGAACAATAATACTTTAAGAGATAATTTTTGAATATATTTTTCCATAAAACAGTCCCCCTCCAAAATAGTAAAATGTAACCATGTTTTATGGAAAAAATATTAAAAAACTATCTCTCTAAATATTATTGTTTCTGTAATTACATTTAATAGGACTTTAAGAATCACTTAAACGCCATTTCATATAGGTAGTTAGTATCTTTCTTTTTATTCCCAAAATAATTGTCGTTATATATATGAAATAAAAAAGCTTTAGGGCTGAAGCCCCTCCCCCCAAAATTAAATTCTGGGTCCCCTATTGGACAGGATTAAGTATATTTAAAGTATATTGAAAAGAATTATTTATGGAGGTTTAAGAATGTATTACTAACATAATTGGAGTAGATACATGTGCAATGTGATCAATAAAATATGAAAAAAATTAATCATTGGTAGCTCTTGTTAAAAGTGCTCTCCCATGATATCAGTTAAATTATGGGAGGAGGAGGGGAGGGGGCTTTTATATATATTTATTTTTATAAATTTTTTGGTGCCTCCAGTAATTATAGAGAATCGATTTGGTGACTTTTGAAAAATTTACCCGTTCTCCTGGACCGAGAAAATCTCTTCTAGCCTAAAAGGGAAGGGAAGAATGAGAGAGAAAAAAAAATTTGAAATCATATTTATATTATTTAGGTTTTATTTATAAATAAAGAGTAAGTACCAAATCAGCAACAAATGGGACAAAAAGCTCGTTTATAATTTTGTTTGAGACATTTTAGGGAGACATTATTCCGTATATTCATTATGTAAGAAATGGACCCAATAGAGAAATCCAATGGTATAGTGTAGTGGAGGCCTAAAATTCAACTGTGTATGTCTAAACTCGCGTGATTATTGTAATAATTTGAAATGTTTGTCTAAGTTTCAGTAGAGAAGGATCTTTTTTAGTCTCAATAATTAAATACTTTATTTTAAATTTATCCAAATTTTCTCCTCTTCAGGCATCTTCAGGGATGATCGGATTTTACATATATTTAAAATTTTCATTTGCTTATAGCAATGTACCCACTTGCACAACTAGTCATAGAACACAACCTATTGTGTTCCTTAGTTTTTAAACTAACATTAACTTAAGATGAATGAATACCATTATAATTTAGAAACTTATTAAAATAGGCTTAGCTGTCTAATATTTCCTAATAGAGCATAGTATTATATAGCAAGGACCACAGAGAAGGGTTGTTTTCTTTTTGTTCTCAACAATGTCCTTAATATTATATGTATGAAAAGTGTATTTTAATATAGTTGTTAGGTATGCAAAAACAATTTTTATCTTCCTCCTGGGGTAAATTCTTTTACTAATCATGTTTATCTCTAAAATATGTTCTGCTCCATTTTCTAGAATATTAGATTTCCTTATGTTCATTCAATGAGCAATAATTGCACCTCCGTAGGCCTTCATTGGTTATGATATTGCCTCTGGGAGCGAGGTAGCTCAGTCGATGGGAACTGACTTTCAGAGCTCTCAAGGTCTCAGGTTCTAATCCGGCTGATGACTAGTAATTTTTCATCAGCCATGGGTCGACCCTAGGGCCAGGAGACCCTACTGGGGCAAACCCAGCCTCTATAAAGTGGGTACTCTTAATTTAATAATTAATTAAGGGGGAAAACCACGGCGTGATATTTGCCTGTCACTTACCTGCATAACCGTTGGCCTTGTAACAGTACTTCCTCACATTCTACTGAACCCATTACCCTTCATGGTTTGTTCGTGGTACAGGATTTTTTTTTCTTATATTCATTAATATTGTTCTATTTGTTATCCATAATTTTATTATTTTGTCATTTCTTTTTTTTTATAACATTATAACTTCTATTCCATTTGGGAAAATTTTGATCTTGCATTGTTAACCTGAATAAATCTGAGGATGGGGCAGAGCCCCAAAATATCGAATAGTTTAGAGATAAACGTGATTAATAAAAAGATTTATGTCAGGGAGAAGATAAACAATTTTTTTGCATATCTTTAAGAAATTATATAAAAAATACTTTGTGTATAGTGTGAATTACCAACAAACAAAGTGTGTTTTAATATTAATACTATATAATAATATTTATATCATTACAATTTTTATAATAGTTAAAACAATTTTTTTTATGGAGGTGTTTGATTTAGAATATTGGGATTGAAGGGCAGTGATCATTAAAACTCCGAAATTATGTTGACTTAATAATTTTTTTAAGCGCCTAAAGCTCTGTTCAAGAAGATATTAAATCTATATTATTGATTATTTATCTGAGGACGAAGGAGATAGTTCAGTAATTAAGACACTGTGCTCTAATTCTCTCGGAGTATCTCTAATTCTCCTGTAAAAGCAGCAAGCAGTTATAAAGCCAAGTGAAAGTTTAATGGAGGAGCTAATAGTATAAACACTAGAGGAAAGTTTTGGTGTCATGTCACCACATGATGAGAGGACATCTTAGAATTGTAGAAAGCTCTGTTCTGGAAAGATGATATATTCGACTTGAAGCCAGTATACCCTGCTCTGACATTCTCAATAATAAAAATTTTTCTTTCAATGGCATACCTGCTTGCTACATGAAATTGGACACTATCACCAGTTGTTTGGGGCTGCCAAAGGTTGAATTACCTTCTGGTCAATGGCTTATAGTTTGATTAAAAATACAAATTTAAAACCAGTGAAGAGAATCAGCTCTTGTATAACCTGCTAGGAGAGTGTTCCGAATTCTCTGGAGAGGCTAAAACCATCATGTAACCTTTTTATTTGATAGAAGACCCCTATTAAAATTGTTGGATCATTGTAATGATTTTGTGGAATGTTCTATCTGCCATTGACAACACATATCTGGGTAATTTCTTAACAAGGAACATTATAAACAGTATGGCTGTAGTCTTTGTAAGGATTACAGCACACAGACGTATGGCAGAATGTGTGGCCAAAAATGTGTGATTTTTTTTCTTCATTGTTTCTAAAGCCTCAAGTTTCATAAGGTTTAGCCTATTTTTCATTTATAAAGAGATAATCATCATTCTCTTTCTTCATTATTTAAGGAAAAAAAATTTTACAATAGAGCATTAAGACAGTATCATGACGGTAATGAGACCATCTGGAGTAAAGGGCAAAAAAAGTATTTTTGTTAATAACAATTGAATAAAAGAAATTTTCATTGTAAACATTTATGTTGTTTTACTTTTTTATGTTAGGTTTACTTTTTCAACCTGAGATAAGTTTCTCCAATCTTATTTATTATTAGGTAATTTTAGACTGTTTTTTTTTTCTTCTTATGAGTGCAGGATTTTATTACCATTGATAGTCTCTTTTTTGATTTAAAACTTTATTTGAAGAGAAGCTTTCGGTGTGCATGCACCATATTCATCTCTATAATTATAATACTCCAACTAGTATAAATTAACAGTTAATTAATAACATTAACAATATATGTATTACATAATTTTTGAAATGTCATGCAATTATTATCAGATCATGCCATACCTTTTATTAGTTTTGTCTACTTAAAAACATAAATGATAATAACAGTGTTCTTGTTCAAAATTCAAAACAGGAAGCGGCCCACATCCCACAACACTATTTACAAATAATAGCCATCCATAACAATTCAAATAATAGTAAATTAAACATGGTAGGGTAACTTTAGTTACCAAAGATAGACGAAGAACAAGCACACTGTTCTTATCATTTATGTTTTTAAATAGACAAAGCTGATAAAAGGTATGGCATGATTTGCATGACATTTCAAAAATTATGTAATACATATATTGTTAATGTTATTAATTAACTGTTAATTTATAGTAATTGGAGTATTATAATTATAGAGATGAATATGGTGCATGGACACCGAAAGCTTCTCTACAAATAAAGTTTTAAATAAAAAAAGAGACTGTAAATGGTAATAAAATCCTGAACTCATCTTTTTTATTTTTATTTTATTGAAATCAGACTCATATTGATAAAATACAATTTGAAAAGTCATAGAATGTAAATCTCTTTTATTCAATTTAATAGAGAAGAAGTTCTATTCACTTGAAATCATATCATTCATCTATCATTCAAATCCTCAGCTTCTAAATTAATACACATAGAAGATGAGGAGGTAGTTTTTTTTTTTACTTCTAGGTTTTTTCAGTATAGTCTGAAAAATTTGGTCAATAATGTTTTACAAATGACTTGTCATTTGTGTAGATACCCTATTGACTCATTGGCCATTTTGCATTTCATACTTTCTACAAATATTTGACCAGTTATTTGACAAACTGTTAGTCACTAGTGTCGAGTCTGCATTAAATTCTCTGCAACGAGAATCTGGAGAACTCTTCACCAGTAAACAGGTGTTAGATGAATTTGAGTATATTATTGTCTAATATGGTCCAAGAGGATGGTGGTTCTCTTGAATGATGAAAGAAATCTGACTTTGGTTTTTAAAGTATTTTCTTAAAAATTGTC